ATATATGAATGTGCGTGTGTGTCTGTGTATGTGAATGCATATGTGTGTGCGTGTATGTGTGTATGAGAGAAAGAAAGACAAAGAGGGAGATAGAAAGGGAGAGATAGAGAGAAAGATTTAGAGAGAGAAAGAGAGAGAGAGAGAGAGAGAGAGAGAGAGATTTAGATTTAGAGAGAGATTTAGATTTAGAGAGAGAGAGACAGAGAGAGAGAGAGAGAGAGAGAGAGAGAGAGACTTCGAGAGAGAGACTTAGAGAGAGAGAAAGAGAGAGAGTGTTTGTTCACGAGTGAGTGGCCATAAAAGTATTTCCCATGTGCGAGCAAAGTTCCCTTTGTGGGGATCAATAGAACCTCCTCTTATCTACACGTACCGGCTACACTACAAACACACGTCTTTTTTTTTCTCTTTGATGTTTTAGTTTTAGTAAGAGTTTTACCGCACTTGCAATACAATAAGGTCATATAAGTGCCGAAAAATAGATTATGTGTTACAAGAGAATAAAATATACGAAAAAGAAGCAGGAGAGATAAGGACGACAGATGTTTGATAGGAAAGAAGGAACAAACCACACCAGAGCACCCGCCAACCACCCACGTCGACAGGTCTACACATACCGGCTGCGGCTGGCCACCTATGCAGCACGGAAAGCACAGCAGGGACTCGGCCATCCTCAGCAGCGACTTCCTCCTCTGACCTTGAGAGCTGGCCCCCTCCGAGGTCGCGAGTCCCCGTGGCGTCGGCTCGCTGGAACTCAGGGTGACGCCCTGGCACCGCCGGAATGTCCAGCCGCTGACCTCAGGAAAACGCCCGGCCCCTCCTCCGCGACAGCTCTTGTCTTGAAGGTCGCAGACAAGGTCGCCTTAGGCTGCGAAGTCGTCTCAGCAGTGTTTCTTCGACCTGTCAAGGGGGGGGGGGAAGAAGATTAGAAGGGATTCCAAATGCACGGCTGTCGACTTTTCAAAAACAAGGAACAAAGACTGCCCACACAGCGTGTCAAGACGGCGGGCACTAGCCAGGTAACCTCCCTCCAAATCCGCCACATATGCATTTTTCTACTTTCAATAAATTCAAGCTATTCAAAGCAGACCTGCACCAATGATGACAGAAATGATAAGGGACACGACTTCCATTGACTTTAAAGGATCACCATCTCATTATTAGAGTCAATCCGGTCTTGAAAGTTCATAATTTTTCTACAGCATCAGCAACTCAAAAACGTATAGATACACATCTAATCTTTTAAACGTATTGATTGGCAGCTGCGCCATTAGTCAAAAACGTGATCAGTTCACAGTTCAGATCAGGACAAAGGGGGGTTCTTGTGGTCTAGAGGTACGGTGTTTGCCTCTCATTCAATAGGTCCCAGGTTTGAAACCTGACCGAAATAAAAAATTTTCTTCTTTTACTCCTTTTCTTGCTCTCCTGTCACTTTCGGTCATCTGCTTTCATCTCTACTTTCTGAGCCTCCCCCAAGACTCTTTCTTCTACTTTTCCTGGCTCCTTTTCACTGCTGTCTTTCAGCCACACCCATGATTTTAGGACAGGTAAGATCAAAGTCCTAGCCTTCCCAGATAAAGGCAAACAAATCTTGGAGGTCCTGTGTGCAAGTTGTGTTCACGTTAAACATTCCTTGGGGTTTCTAAAATTCGATAAGAGTTAGCTTCGGCCACTATCCGGGCAAAATTCCAAATTATTTCCCATCAAATCGAAAATAAATGGTAAAATATTTTAAAGTTTTAGTATACGTTTTACGGCGCTCGCAACTGTATAATGTCATATGAGCGCCAGAAGATTAGAGGAAATTTAAGCACTTTTATTCTTTTTTAAGAGAAACTTGCTTCACCAAGCTTCTGGTGCTTCATAACAACCAGCAACAATGCTTTCAAAGAACTCATTTTTACTGTAATTTACAGTGGATGATGAAAAGCAATAACAGCAAGACAGCTCCTACTTTATCTGAATGTGTCTCCATGAAGTGACTCGCAACACATGTACATAAAAATAAAACCTATCTTTTTTTTCCTTCTTTTTTTTTTTAAATAGTAGAGGGTTTTACGGCGCTCGCAACTGCATTTATAAGGTCATATGAGCGCTAAGGGGTGGGTGTCAACAGAGAAGTCTTTACAGGGAATCAGACTTAGACTGCTCACCTCTCTAGCTTCAACAGCACAAAAGGTCTGCTTCGACTATCAAGGCACCCCAAAATAGCAGGTCACAAGGGAGAGACAAACATACAAAAGAAGTAGAGGAAAATGACAATAGTAAGGATCAGGAAAGAAAAAGGAGCAGTTCCCGGTTGTAGATCAGGCAGTTATGAGCATGACATGAACCAGCCCATTTACAATTCTACTTAGTACTATGCTTGAACGAGATAAGTCCCCCCTTTGGGAATGGCCTAAAGACACTACAGTCAGTGGCACTGCCCCGGGTTTTTTTGGGTTTTTTTCTTCGTAAGAGTTTTATGGCACTTGCAACTATAAGGTCATATAAGTGCCGAAGATTAGAATTAGAGGTGTTACAAGGGAGTAACAAACACAAAAAAGAAGGAGGAAAGATAAATACGATAGATGTTTGATAGGAAAGAAGGAGCAAACCACACCAGAGCACCCGCCAACCACCAACAAAACCTGTCTGAAGAAGGCTATTCGTATTTCAGAGTACGAACAAACAACTGTTCAAAGGTACGATGTCCTAATTCTGTCCTTAAAATGTAAAACAAACTGTCAAATCTGACCTAAAACTGTGGTCAAGCTCAGGGACAAGAGTGTTCACCAAAGCCAAAGGACAGCATGCTTCATAGACCAGGGGGAGAAAGCTGGTGAAATAAGGAGAAAAAAGAAATCAGTGAAGGACTTCTGTAACGCAATAAACACAATAAAAAGTATTAAAAAAGAGACCTAATAGAACCCTAACCCAAACCCTACCCCAAAGAATAGAAGCCTCTACCATACCCCTCTGGGCACTTTTTCGGTAGTTCCCACCCCGCATTTGTTATTCGCCGGTTTTGGCCCCAAGAGAAAGGGGTTTCCAGGGGGGCTTTCCCCCTTGACCTAAGAAAAATATGGTGGGGGGACATTTTACCTTATTTAATGTTTTGCAGTGGTTAGCTTTGATCTTAGCTCGCCATGGACCAAATGTATAGAGATCTAGGATGTAGATCTAGGCTCAAATAAGGGGGGTGGGAACTACAGAAAAAGCGCTCCCCTCTGTTCTACTCTGTCTCATAGTGGTCGCTCGTTACGGAAGTCCTCCCAATATCAGTATCAACATTGATTGATATCCCTAGCCTAGAGTCTAGATAGAGTTCTAGCTTGACATTTTAAATCTTTAAAATCCAAAAGATTTTGAAGTATCACTGATTAAAGGGTAACATAAAAGTTTGAAAAGTCAATAGATATTCAAATTTACGGTGTCTTGTAGCTCCGTTTTTTAAAGTCCATGATCTATTTGTTTACATCCCCATCCAGAGAAGAAATCCAGAAGTCTTGATGACCAAATAGGCTATCAACAAAGAACAGGGATGCAAACTGCAAAACATCAAATTATGGTAAAATTCACCCCCCCCCCCTCCATATTTTTATTAGGTTGGGGGGGGGGGGGGGGGGGGGGGGCGGGGGAACCCCTATTCATGACTTTAACTTTAACGAACGAAACTACAAAATCGCCAAATTTACACTTTCCTAAATCAGTGTAGATCATCTAGATCTAGTGTAATAAAATAATATAAAGAACCTTCTCTGCAATTTGTTATGGTTGTGATGAGAACATCATACACAGACTCAGCAGACACATCAGTATTAGAAATGATCTAGAATCTAGACTAGATATAGACAGACCAAGATCTAGATCTAGATCTAGATCTAGTCTAGTATTGGGCGTTGGCAGTTGAATTCAACAAGTTGAAATAAAAAAAATAAACAGGCACCATCAGAAAACACTCCTTGCCTTGCCTTACTTAACACTGACAGAACTTACCACTAACAAAGAACCGTTTATTTATACCCCGACACACCCATTTGTGTGGTCATCGAGTCATCACTGGCAACAAAAATAGAAACGGCAGATGAATGACAACAAGAACGATGTCGATTGACTTCTTGAGAAAGAGTCTGATGCGCATGAGGTTTGCGGTTTGATTGCGAAAACGATTAATTTTCTAAACTAAACTTGACAACTCAATAAAAAATACACAAACACAAAAAACAAGCAGGAACAAACAAACCGCAGCCACACTCTCATTATAGGCTACAGAGGAAATGGTTCACCACAAAAACATGTTTTAAAAATTTTAGTGAATAAAGAATCAAAAGTTTTGTACGAAATTACATGCATTCCGAAATCTAATGCACTCATCTTGATGGAGCCCCGGCACTTTCCCCCTAACAACCCTATTCAGTAACAGGGGCAATACTTAAGAACATTACATAGCTTAACAATCTATAAAGTAGCACAGCTGTCTTATCACCAAAATAAAAACAGAATAGTTTACCATGTAGTCCGAAAGTTGGAAACTTCCTTCTAACTTAGTCCCTCCAACAACCCGGAAATGCAACGTCCTTGAACTTTACAATCTCGAAATATCCCACGAGGCTTCAAACTTCAATGGATGTTTTTAAACTTTGCAAACTAAAGATCAACTAAGGTCTAAGGGAGATAAAGACCTTGGGTATCTCAGGGGGGGGGGAAGAAGGCGAAGGAGTCTATGGTAGCCCAAAAACAAATTGCTTAAAGCACTTTAAAAGTTGAACGACAGGGAAAGACAAAGATAACACAGATCTATTTTTTTACAGTTCTTTTTACAGGATCCGAGCAAGGAAATAAGTGGCGAATTATGATCGCATTGATCGCCCTTGTCTGGTAATGGGTGATGGTAAAGGGAGATCACTCCAAAGTCAACTGAAATGATAAAATGTTTACTTTCCGTTTAGAGGTACACGTAGTTTTGTACTTTCGCTTTGAAGCCGCTCTGCCACTCGGGGCCCCAGCTGTGCCAGAGATCGATGGAAATTTGATGGAAACCAATGTTTGGTTGAATTTAAGGTGACGTGGCGATAACAAACGAAGCCTGAGTTCTTTTTTTCTCTACCGCGTTCCGTCCCTGGCTTCAGACACTTTTGTAAGAACCCAGAAGAGAGAAGAGTGCCTGAAGCCTGAGCCGGAGTCAACTGACTGAGTATCAGGTCAGAGAGGTAAGTAACTTAAGTTTGTAATTTGTCAGAAAGGTCGCTGGAGCTGTGAGTACTGTGAGGTCAAGGAGGAAGGTTTTCAGACAGATCTAGGTAAATGTCGCTAATAGTTAGACTTCTAATCTAGATTCTAGATCTAGATTCTAATGTCTAATTGTGCTTTTAAATTCCTTTGTTGAGTTCCGATCCGATGTCAGGCAAGGCTGCAGTTACGGTATAAGATCTATAGATCTAGATTTCTAGATCTAAATCTAGGCCTATAATCCTATCCTGTATACTGTAATATTAGGCCTAGGCCTAGAATTTAGGTTAGTTAGTGGCCTTTCAAGAATTGACTTTACTAGACTAGAAGTATTCAAAATGTGAAGAATACAACCCCTGGGGTACAAAATGACCCGCTACTTTTTCGGTAGAATAATTTGATGTTTTGCAGTTGTTAGAGCGAGCTTTGATTAGCTTGCCACGGATCAAACGTATAAATTTAGATGTAGATCAAGGCTCAAATAAGATGGGTGGGAACTACCGAAAGACTGCCAATGACCCCAGGCGTACGGATAGGGTTCAATAGTCAGTTATTATAATTAACCCTTCGAGCCCCTTAAGCGCGTGTATTTTCAGCAGCACCTGTAGTACCTCCCACCATCCCAAAAGCATAATATATTCTCAGTTTCAGGGGGTACCGAATTAGTGCATTTTTTCCAAGTTAGTGAACCAAATTAGATATAAAATAATTTTATAATATTTATTCATTTACCTTGCCTTATAATTACAAAGATACTACGTCACTTTTTTGAATGCATGCCTCTTTTTCCAGTATACTGCTGTTTTGGCTGGGAGTGGGGTTGGGGAGTGCACAAAAATGGCTGGGGCTGGAAGGGTAATTATTATAGTCTATGTTAGACTGGAGTTTAAGTTTTGTTTGGGAAAAGTAGCCGAAGCCTATTTACACTCGATCATAAATAGGCCTACTAATTTTTTAGGAGGATTTCCGTAACGAGCGACTACCCAAACAAATGCAATGAAGAAGAGACCTAACCCTGACCCAACCCCTAACCCTGACCCAACCCCTAACCCTAACCCTGACCCAACCCCTAACCCTGACCCAACCCCTAACCCTGACCCAACCCCTACCCTACCCCTACCCCCGCCACAAACCCTACCCCTAACCCTCTATTCTACTTTGTTTCATACACTGGTGGTTCGTTACGGAATTCCTCCCATTTTTTGTATTGCACATGACATTATAAAAGGTTACATGATTCGGACACCCCTTCCTCCCCCCCCC